AAAAAGCCATCCCTGCCTGCCCTGGCTGGCTGGCACAGGGCTCAGCCCCGCACCCTCCGGGCAGGAGCTCCTACCCGCACCAAGCGGGTGCAGCAGTACGCCCTGCGCAGAGAGGATGCTCGGGAGCCTCGGTGCTTGTGCTGCGCCTTTGCCATGGGTGTGAGAACTCCAAAGTTTGGCCCAAATGCATAATGGCAACGTGAAACTATTAATCTAGGGAGATAATGAGCAGAATAGGTACCCGGCGAGGTACCTTCTCCGGGATGTGCTGACATTGAACTCCCACAAAGGGACCGTGCTAGATAATGATCCTAATAGGTGGCTCTTCCAGGCAATTTGATAGATGTGCACTATCAAGCATTGTCAGAAATAGCTCCGTATACAAAGCAAGCGTTTATCATCACGGACACCTTGCAGGTGGTCACTGATTCAGTGACATTGTAAGAAATAAATAGGTAACAATTCCCTGCTTGCTGATAGAAGGGATGATAGTTTAGAAAAAATTAGAGCTGTCTCTAGGCAATTTTTTCATGCAGGAGCTTTTGATTTGAAGGCACAGGACAGCACATGCAGCTCCTCCAGCTGACCTGTGTAATTCCACCAGAAATCGATGCTTCCTGGGTCAGCTGAAGGCACAAGAAGGGGAAATATTCCTCGGCATCGCTGAAAGATGCGTAGAGGAGTTCATCAGTCGCTTCTCTTCTCTAAACAAGTGATTGGGAGAACTGCAAATTCAAAGGTGAAACGCGTATCGGGGAGCCCCTGCCGGTGGGGTGAGTGTCGTTGCACAGGCTGCGTCCTCCAAGCTGCTGCGTCCGCAGCCAGCAGCGAGGATGTTCTGCACACCAAAAACTTGTAAATAACAAGAAAAAAGTATTTTCAAAAAAGACATTATTTGCTTAATCGATAGGAGAAGTTGTCCCAGTCTGCGTGTGCAAACTGGCTTTTCAATACGAGTTCCCACATCCCAGTGAATCGGAGAGGGCCGTCTGGGGACCAGTGACAAGTTCAAGCTCCTAGGGTCAAGTCTGTCCCTCATGATACTCTTCCCTTTGATAAGGGCTCGGCTTTCGCTGGCCTTCCTCGGTGGGGACGGGTGCTCTCCCCGCTCCCATCCCAGCGTGTTTCCATGCTGCCTGATTGCAGCTGGGGCACGCCACTGGCTCTGCTCTAACTTGAATCTTACCTCCAGCAGCTCGTAGCTGAGCAACGTGCAGTTTTCAGTGAGGCAAAAGGATGATTCCATCAGGAGACGAGTCCTTGGATTCCAGGTCTGCCACCAGCTGCGATCCTGCCTGGTCCGCGAGTTGCAAGCCGTGGCCAGCCGGTTCCTCACGCCGCTTCTGCTGAAGGGGAGCACGCTGTTGTCCGCGATGCCGAAGGCTGCTGGCGGGCTGCGAGGCGGCGAGGAGGAGGCCCAGCCGGTGGCGTTCCGTGGCACGGTGACAGACGCTCGTCGCAGGCAGGTAAGCGGTCTCTATGCCGAAGAACCGCAAGTCCACCTGCGGAAAGAGAAGGGATGGAGCTGAGGTGAGCACAGGGATTCAGCTCGGCGGCTGCCTCCCCTGGCTCATCGAACCCCTCCCTCTGTGGTTGCTGATGGAATGGATGCTCCAAGAGCAGAGATAGGAGGCTTGAATTGCCCTTCCTCACCTGGGGGCACAGCCTGCCAAAGCCGCTTAAGCTTCTTTAACTTTGCTTTTTTTTCCTCCTTTCTTTGTGGGCTTTTTCAGTGGGAGGTTTGGGGGGGGGTGTTTTTTGTTTGGGTGGGTTTTTGCTGAGAAAGATTAATTACCATCTAATTAACCTGACCGCCATCATTGAACAGTTGGGCACTCAGTTAGGTAAAATGTATTAATGAGAAGAGGTGAGTGGTGGTGGGTTGTCCAGGCTGGCGCCTCGCCGCGGGGAAGCCGTGCTGTGCGGGGTTTAAGGGTGTCCGCGCTGCTTTGGGCAGCCGGGCTCTGCCCGTCCCTGGCTGCTGTAACGCCGCGTTCCCGTGGGGCCTTACGGCCTCTCAGCTGGTCCCAGGTTGCGCGTCGCTGTGCGTGACGGGGATCGCGGGAAACAAACCGTGGGGTTTGCCATGGATTGAGCTGCGGCTCGCGTTCCTGTAACTGATTGTGCTGCAGGAGGCTGGGTGAATCCTGGGGGCATGCGGTGGGAGAAGAGCCCTGCCGCGACGCCTGCTTGCCTTCCCACGTGCGCCTGTGCTCAGGGATGGGGCGGGTGGTCTCTTGGCAAGTACCTGGTGGCTTAGCAGGAGTGGTACATCGGTTGGCAAGATTCGGTCTTGGGGAAGTTGTAATAAGGAGACGGAGAGGCTGTAGCTTAGCTTCTGGGTAGGAAATTTCTTGATGATACAGACGAGTTCCTGGGAAGCTGCACGGCTGACGCCTCCAAGGACAGAGAGGGAAGCTGATTGCCCAGACAGTCCAGCCCTCTGGAAGGGCA